TAAAGCACCATGATCAAAGTCAACTTGGGAGGGTTTATTTGGCTTACATGTTCCAATCATAGTCTACCACAACAGAAGTCAAGGCAGGAACATGGGGCAGGAGCCTGGGGCCAGGAACGTGGAGGCAGGAACTGAAAGAGGGGACATAAAGGAACACTGTTTACTAGTTTGCTTCTCATGGCTTGCTCAGTTACCATCCCCAATAAGCTGGACCCTCCCACATTAATCAAGAAAATGTCCCACAAACATGCCTGCAGGCTATCTTATACATGCATTTTCTCAGTTGGGGTTCCCTCTTCCCAGATGACTCTAGCTTGTGTCAAAAACCAAACCTAACCAGCACATTCTCTGGACAGCTGATCTGCTTGTGTGCTATACCATGCTTTCTAGTTTTCCAGCTTTTGTGAGCTGTTGCCTATGGTGGGTGGACTTTTGGTGGTGCAGCTGTCTTTGAATAATTTCTGTTCTTGTAACTAACTCCTCTCCATACTGTTGAAAATAGTCCCCCTGCCCCACCTCAAAAATTCATTGGTTCACCAACTTAGACTTGGGTGACACCTTTATTTTGTCTATTGTCAGGAATAGTGTCACACAACAGCAGTTCTTGGCACGGTGCTGCTTTGATTCAGGGTGTATTATCCATCCATGAAGCCTCTCTGGGAACCTCACAGACAAGCTCAGAGGTGTGTCTCCTAGGTGACTCCAAAGCCAGTCAAGTTGACAATGAAGATTAACTTTCACAGATGATCAATGCTGTCTATTTTAATTTAAAAAATGATGCAATAAAAAATGCAGTATTTTCAGACTCATAGCTCTCTCCCTGATTGTGTCCAGTAAAGCCATTTGATAACTGTGATTTCTTTCCTTTAAACTTTACAGGAGTAAGCAGTGTCAATACTGTTTTATGAACAATGAAAAGACAAGGAATTGGGCATAATGGTGCTGTTAAGAAGGAGCAGAAGTCTTCTACCCAAAAAAGCTGCCCTGCTGGGATTTATTAAAAGCTAAGAGAGCAGCTATGCTGTTAGAACTATGGCCATATGCACACCCAACTGCAGGATGCATAGCATTAAGTCTAGATCCATAGCTCTTGGCCATGGCTGCTAGTCACCTGTACATTGGAGAAACCAATCAAATGAGCCTATGTGCTTGGGTGGAGGACAGACAGGCCTTCAGGCTTTAACCACCAATAATCCTAACAATATATTTAGGACTGAAATTCACTAACAAATGTCCCAAAAGAGATAGGAAGCTGTTCTCATTGCATGTTGGGAAAAGATGATTTTTTTCATGACCTTAATGAATGCACAAGAGAGTTAATTGTACTTCATTTCCACTGCTTCTATTTAGACTGTTGCCCTTGTATTTGTGTGCTAATGCGTTCGAGACAGTTACTGAGAGAGAGATTAGCCAGGCTGCTCCCTAAAGGTTAGTGTGTGGACCTTTATAAGTCACCATTCAAGAAATGTGTAATATGGAGAAATCACAGGCTTTGACTCCTCCCTGAAGCAATGAGTGCGCAATAGGCAGACCTCAAGGATGCCGGGTCATCATGATGCATGAAGGTTAATGACCACTTCTACCAAAGCCCAATGTTGTGGAGGGCACGGATGCCCACTCACACCACAGCCAGAGACACGGGCTTTCAACAGGCGTCGGTGGTAAGCAGTTTGTTTATTAACTATCACACATGAGAAACACTCTGCCCAGCTCAGGATATCAACCCTGAAAAGCCAATTATGAAGCCTGGTACATATTTTTATCATCCTTTTCATGACATTTATATAATAGCAATAGTCTCAATATCATTTTTATGTAGGTCAGTTACTAAAGTAGCAATAATAAAGCCAGAATTGAAATGACACTAATTGTTTACTTAATATCTTAAGGGATGCCCGAATTCCTTAAATGAGATAATATGGTGGGAAATATACTCACAGTAAACAATGTATAATACAAAATACTAGTCTTACGATGAATCTGATAAACACAGTTGTGGTTATAATTTTCAGGGAAAGAAACATAAGGTCATATTCCTCCTTTAATTCATTATGCTTTGACAGTAGGAGCAGACAAAAATTTGTTTAAATAAAATGTAATTGAGTTTGCATAACACTTGTAATCAGAAACCTTTTTATTCACTCAGCCAAGGGCTCTTATGTTGATTTCAAAGCACACTGATCCTTGGGAAATATGCTGTGATCAGCTTGTTTGCTTAATAAAGCTCTGAAGTCTGCAAATTATTTTCTTGCCCTCCATCACTTTAGGAAAAAATTTCCTAGACTGGGTTATTTTCATTTTCTCAATCACTTATCTTCTGAGATGATTTGGTGATTGGGAAAGAGAGAAGAACTGTTTTGGCTTGGAAAAAGGCTGCCACCATTACATGGTCACTATGGGGGACTTGGCTCATAGACATTGAGCAGTAAGATGTCACTTGTGCCCATGGTGTCAAACTTATGTGTTCGAGAGCTGTTATATTTCTCAAGTGTTTTTTGAACCAAAATTGCTGAATAGGGCTAACCATTACAGTTCAACCCAGTTGTCTCCTTTCAACCTCTTTGTTCCTCCATGTGTTTGGTGGAAGAGTTTAATTAACTAAGTAATTAATTAATTCTCTCTGAGTGTGCATGTGTGCGTACACACACACACACAGAGAGAGAGAATACAGTGTGTGTGGAGATTAGGGGACAATTTGTGGAGATGGCTCCTCTCCTTTCACTGTTTGGATTCTGGGGGTCTTAACGTTAACCTGGGTAGTTAATTAATAGGCTTTGTACCTCAGGCTTTGCATCCTGGGAAGCTTCAGATAGGCATGGAGATCAGGCACCATCAGGAATATACAATTCCATGGTGGCAGGGTCAAGGACCCGAGGGGATCTCTCACAAAGAGGTGATTGGAAGCCACTTCCATACTCTGACATATGTATCCATTGGAAGGGACTCAAATTTGTTGTTGTTGTTGTTGTTTTAGGATCTATTCTCATTTATATGTATTGTATATCTGTGTGAGTGTATGCCACACGTGAGCGGATGCCCACAGAGGCCTGAAGTGGGTGTCGGATCTCCTAGAGCTGGAGTTACAAGTGGTTGTAAGCCATCCCACATGGGTGCTGGGAACTCTGGTACTCTTACCAAGTGCTCTTAACCACCAAGCCATCTCTCCAGCCCCACGAGGTAAATCTGAATATTAGTTCTGTCCTATCTAGGCTGTGAGCTTGTGTAGAAGTATAATTTCCCATAGAGTTGCCCTCTTCTAAATCCTGAGACTAAATACACTGGTTAAAAAGCAGCAGTATTTATCATGATTGAGATGGGCACTCAAGAAACCCATGCCCAGCTAGCACTCTGTGGTCGGCTGCCTAAAGATAAGGACCATTGATAGAAAGTACAACTGCTAATCGTTCCATTGTTTTTTATAGTTACAATTCTAAGAAATGAAAAGTGACTGATATAACCAATAACTTTATTTGTGTTTGTTTTGTTGTTATTGTTTAGGGGAAAGGATGGTGATTTGGTTGAGCTCTCAGAAATTTTGAAAAATTATAGGTTTTCCCTTATTTTCCACTCTTCTGTTTCCATCTTCCTTTCTTCTCCTTCCCCTATTCCCTTCCTTCCTTCCTGCCTCCTTCCTTTTTGTTCTCCCATTTCCTTCTTCCATGAAATGTTCTTAGAAAGACAGAATAATAGGTCAGATGGACTCTATAAAATTCCAGTCCCAGTAGTAGTCCTTGTGTAACGTTAAGCATGTTCATAAAGATAGACATTCAGCATAGCATCTGGTGCAGCATTAGTGTTCAATAAACAGTACCTACTATGCTGCTATACCATTGTTGTTGCCAGTCACCGGACTTGTAGAGAAGTCTGTGAGGGAAAGGACTGAGACCTTTTGTGTAAGTGTCTTATTTGATTTTTGCACATGCATATTAATACAAGTGATGGAAATACACACACCAAACAGGAGACGTAGCAGTATTTTCATGTTTGAGTGGGTGACAATTGATGAGGGTAATCACAAAGACTGCCTGATGGATAGGGTATGTTAAACAGGATCCAAATGGGAGACTAGCTACAAGTACAGGAGGATAGAGACACAGTGCCCCAATTTCCAGTGGAAATTTATTAAGAGACCAAAGCTGCACAAGTGAGAACAAAAAGGTCAGTTCATCATCCAACCACTAGCCATTTGAGATGGGAGGGGCCTCCGCCCACCTCGCCTGGTGGAAATGTTCCAAATTTACATATAAGGTTTAACAGATGCTCAACTACATGACATTCAAATATTTCATCTGGTCCAGCATGCTCATGTCATGTGACGGTGTACAAACAGTAACCCAGATCAAAGTGAAAGTAGTTTATATCCAAAGACGGTAAATCAAGTTGGCCAAAACACCTAAAATCTATCTAGATTTTCTTTTAGAAAAACTCTTCCTAATAGTGTGTGTCTGTGTGTGTAATAGAAAAGCAATTTTCTTAGTGCCATGAAAATTAAACTTAAAAATATTGATTTGCATGGCACAATCAGATATGAATAATATGTCATTTCCTTGTGTTCAACTGATTTAATCACCAAACAAATTACCTTGGCTTATTTTATGCCAGGTCTGTTTCCTTCAAGGACACAGACACCTACAATTAGCTGACAAAGCATTCTTGAGTGCTAGCACTGTTACCTAATTTGTGTCCCTACTCATCACCCAATTTGGAAGATCCCAGTTGAATTGCAGTATGTTAAACTAGATTTTTGTCATTCATTTGTTGAGTTCATCTTGTGGTTTTAATTGGATGTTTTGCAGTGGATCTATTTTAATGTTTAAAGGAAAACATACTTCTTTTAAACTGAATTCAAAAAGCTTTTTGTCAAGGGGTCCTTGTGTGTGTGTATAGATTGAGCCTAGGAGAACTCATTCTTTGTCTACTGTGAAATCTATCCTCCCCTCCTAGGAAGAGGAAGGTGATCACCATCAAGAAGGTTTCAGATGGAAATCTATCTGTGTGCAATGGAGTGTGGTTTCCAAGAGGTGCTCAACACCCCAGGGTCTCATACAAACTGCAGTGCCTATGGGGAGTTGTTCATAGAGGCTTCCCATGATGGTAAGTCACTGTTATTGCCATACACAAACAATATGAGGGTGAAGAATGTGGAAAATCTGGTAGATGTCACATCTCATGTTGTCCCCATCCACAAAAAATTAGAGTAGCCAATGAGATTAAAGAAAAAAACACCATCATTGTGTTTCTGCATCTACTGTATGTGTATATGAACGTGTATATTAAATGCTTTATGGGTATATTTCTCAAAGATTGCCTTCAATCCTTATTTGAAGTCATTTAAAACAAGCAGTGTATGTAGTTTCAAAGGCAATGGTTTGTTGTTGTTTTTAATCTCTGAGTATTAAAAACGTTCACTTTCATAATTTAGTTATGCACAAGTTATGTATCACTTGCTCTTTATAGTTTGCCTTCCACAAAGGTTTTCATTTCTTTCTATGAATAACCCTCAACATGCACCTACAAAAGGGGAGTAGAGAATTTATCAGTATTGTCAGTTAAGAAAATACGTGTTGCCAGGTGTGATGGCTCACTCCTTTAATCCCAGCACTTGGGAGGCAGAGGCAGGCGGGTCTCTGTGAGTTCCAGGTCTAGAAAGTCAATTCCCGGATAGCCAGGGCTGTTACAAAGAGAAACCCTGTCTCGAAAAAACAAAAAGAAAATGCATGCCCCAGTTCCAAGGAATTTAGATCTAGCCATGCAGCTGATAGAGAAAACAGAGAAGAGTGCAGTTGTAATTAACAGTGCACATAAAGCTTGTCTAAGAGGATGTGTGGTTCTCTGTACTCTGTATGCTGCTTTATGCTGGAGTGATGGCCACAGCTAACCTACAGGGATAGCACACCTATCTTGAAGTCTCTTTCTGGCATGCCTCTTACAACCATAATCCCTACAACTCAGGCGATTACAAGGCTCTCACCTTTGCCTTCTCTTCTTGCTCTGTCTTGTAAATTCATGACTTTAATAGTTCTCTTTAAGGCAATGACTCTCAGGTTTGTGTCTGAAAAAGATTAGCATGTCTCCCCAGTGGTGTGTGTGTGTGTGTGTGTGTGTGTGTGTGTAGGTAGGTAGGTAGGTAGGTAGGTAGGTAGGTAGGTAGGTAGGTATGTAGGTAGGTAGGGAAGTGTGCCATTGCCTATTGGGATACACAAGTATATACCCCATAGGAACTAGCATCAATATTACCCAACTCTCCACTCTCTCCCCTCCCCACACCTGCAGCAATTCTTTAATTTCTGTTTTAATAAATGACTCTGCCAATGGTTCAACCTGTCCAAATCAAGTCAGACCCTGACTATGTCCTAACCACCCACGAACTTTAAAAGTATTCCAAGCTTGGCTCCTCCTAACTATGGCTTCAGAGATTCTCTCCAAACTCCAAAGCCTGATAGACAACTCGAACTGCAGACCATTCCATGTTGTAGTTCTCAAATGACATTTCTGGATTAAAAACCTTAAGGTAATTTAAAAAAAAAAACCTCAAGGTACTCTGGGGCGGGTTTCCCAACTACATGTCCCTTTTGGGATAAAATGGAAGATTCTGTGCCTGGCTACACTTGTGTTTCTTGCCCATTTCCCAAAGTTGAAGATTTCCAAAAACCAAGCCCAGGTCCCTCCAAGGTGCCCTCACATTCCATGGCCATCTTACCTATTGCCATGCCAAAGGCTCGCTTTTAGACAGCCAAACATCTCCATTTCCTGACCCTCTCTGATATGAGAAGGAATATTTTCAGAGGTCTCTGCTGGATTATTATCTATCTGTTTTTATAAGAACCTTGCTCACAGAGTGGTTCTGACACAGTCTTTGCATCCCTGCCTTGTTCATTGGTTGACTCCTCAGGAGTAGCAAAAGGAGATTGTACTTGAAGCAAAAGCTCACCAGGCTTTTTAGAATTAGCTGTGGAATTTGATATCGACCAGTCAGGCTGACACACTAGCTCATTGCAATTAACAGAATGCCCCAGTGACCAGGGACGTGGTTAAGTGGCTGCAAACAGTACTCTACTGGTGACTCACGGAGAAGTTGTCTAGAATCCCAGAGACCTCTGGGGCCTTTCTTCTATACACCTGAATACAAAAGACTCTCTTGCCTTCAACTGGACAAACTCGGGCTGTCTATTTTACTTCTGGTTCCTGCTGTTAATATTTTCTGGGTCACTAACCTGTTGTCTTCTCACAAATGTGCCCAGTAAAATACCCACAGTACATGCCTACATTAGGAGGGTGGTGTCTGATTTAGTGCAGGGCTCATGGAATTACTGATGAGGTTTATGTCTCCAAATTAATCTCGATGAGGGAAGTAAGGTTCGTTTGTACCCACTTGAAAACAGAAGACATTAGGCAGGGAAGTGATTCAAATATAGTCACAGAAGTCTAGGGGAGGGAGGGGGCAAACTACTGAGCTCTCCCTGTGGGGAGGAAGTAGGGGGATGAGGAGAGTGGCAAATATTGAGGTCTTAGTCTAATCAATTAGGTTAGACTTGCATCTCATCAACCCGAAAAGAACACCGCATGAAAAACACCTCTTGCTTTTGTCTTCCCTTAAAAAAAAAAAGAATTATATTTTGTATAAAGTAAAATGGAAAAATCTATTTTCACAAGTTTCCAGTGCCAAGAATCAAACCCAGGGTCCCAGGCTTGTTCTACCACTGAAATACATCCCACATTTTTGTCCGTTTGTTTCATTTTTCTTGTTGTCATTAGTGTTTACTTACCTTTTCATTAGTTTGTCAACGAACAGTTTTCCTTATGGCTTCTTCATACATACTTACTTTCAGCTGGTTCTCTCCACACACGTGTATCTCTCTGCCTCCCTTTCTGGGGTGTACCCCCTACCCTGGGATTTCCCTGTCCAGCTCCATCTCTCCTGTGTGCTGTCGTCTTATCCCACTCCCTCTGTCTTTCATCCCTAGACCCCTTCCCAGTTCCCTGGCCTCCACTCTTATGTTCTCCCACACAGATACACGTATCTAACAATGAGGGGTAAGATTCCAACAGGAGTGAAAACGTACAGGATTTTTCTTTGTGATCTGGGGTTCCCTTGCTTGATATGTCTTCCAGTTCTATCCACTTTTCCCTGTGGCTGAATAAGATTTTTATTGTGTATCAGCACCAAATTTTCTTTACCCATTCATCCATTGGTAGACATCCAGGCTGGTTCAATTTCCCAGCTGGTGTGACTAGTATGGCAATGAACATGGCATGCAAGTACGTCTAGGTGGTATATAGAGTCCTGTGGGCATATGCCTGGGTGTAGTATAGCTAGGTCAAATGGCAGCTTCATTTTAGTTTTTTGAGAAGCCCTCACACTGATTCTTATAGTAGCTGCACCAATTTACAAACCCACTTAGAGTGAAGAAGTCTTCTTGCCCTACATCTTCATGTGTAGTTCCTTGCTTTCTTCCCTTCCCTTGGCCTTTTTTCTTTTTTCTGTTATATCCTACTAAGTCCATTTAGTGTTTTTTGCTTGGTTTGGTTTTCAGTTTTTTGAGACAGGGTTTCTCTGTGTAGCCCTGACTGTCCTGGAATTCACTCTGTATACAAGACTGGCCTCAAACTCACAAAGATCTGCCTGCCTTTGCCTCCCAAGTGCTGAGATTAAAGGTGTGTGCCACCACTGCCTGATGTCATTTAGTGTTGCTTATATATTTATGTTTTTACAGATGACCCTTTGGTATTGGATAGTCAATCAGGGGGGCTCATCCCTGGAGAAAACTGATTCTCTCAGCAGTCAATAATTGATTTCATGGCCAGGCGTTGGTGGCACACACCTTTAATCCCAGCACTCAGGAGGCAGAGGCAGGTAGATCTCTGTGAGTTTGAGGCCAGCCTGGTCTCCAGAGCTATTTCCAGGATAGGCTCCAAAGCTACACAGAGAACCCCTGTCTCAAAAAACCAAAAAGAAGAAGAAGAAGAAGAAGAAGAAGAAGAAGAAGAAGAAGAAGAAGAAGAAGAAGAAGAAGAAGAAGAAGAAGAAGAAGAAGAGCCTTCATTTGTAGCTCTTCATCTAAGAGTGAGGCCCTGTGAGAGTTCTCCCATACATGTTGGCATGTCAGTGGTGTTGTCATTGTGCAGCTCTCCTGTCATGTACAATCTCACAGAAGATGACCCACTCACTTATGTGTAAAATGAAAGCAAGAAGACCCTACAGTGCAGTGTGCTGAGGAGGAACACTAATCTGGCCTGTAGATGACTGAATTCTTGTGATTTTTTTTTTTTTTGGCAATGAAAATTCATGCCTTTTAGAGAAAAGTTAGATGTTTACAAGAAAGGACGATGATAATGGAGGGGTAGTATTGAGACTGTGAGACAATAAGCTTATAACAATGCAATCATTGGGGAATTAGTGTTGGCTTTCCCTGTGCTTCCACTTATTCTCACCTGTCATCAACCAACTAAGTTGGCTCACTTTAAGGTTAACCCCACAGGTGACCTCCCATCCAGACTCCTTTATGAGTCCTCAATGGAGATGGCTCTGGTTTAGAAACATGTTTGACAGTGCCTTCAGCACATTTATTCTGGATTCTTTGTTCTCTTTGTAGCTACGACTCTGTTTGGAATGAGCAATCAAACACACATCACAGAATTCATCTTCCTGGGATTTTCCAACCACTCCAGCCTACGGGGCTTCTTCTTCCTGATCTTCCTGGCCATTTACCTGACAACTCTCCTGGGGAACACGCTCATAATGTTGGCCACCAGAATCAGCCCCGCCCTCCACACTCCAATGTACTATTTCCTCAGCAACCTGAGCTTCTTGGACATCTGCTACACGTCCACCACCATTCCGGTCATGCTGGTCAATTTCTTCAGGGAGAAGAAGACCATCTCCTATGAGGGCTGCCTCTCCCAGATCTTCTTCTTTGTGACATGTGCTGGCACGGAGGGTGTTCTTTTGGCTGCCATGGCCTATGACCGCTATGTGGCCATTTGCCGCCCTCTTCAGTATCCAGTTCTCATGAGTGTGAAGGTCTGTGTCTGCTTGGTGACTGGCTCCTGGCTCTGTGGCCTGGTCAATTCTGTGACTCACACAACACTGACAGCCACACTCACCCTGTGTGGACCCAATCAGATCAGTCACTTTCTCTGTGACATCCCACTGCTCCTGAAGCTCTCCTGCTCAGACACCTCTGTCAATGAGTCTGTGCTCCACGTGGCCAGTGCCACCATTGGCCTGAGCCCCTGCCTGTTCACTGCAGGCTCCTATGTGCTCATCATCTCTGCCATCCTTAGGATTCCCTCTGCTCAGGGCAGGAAAAAGGCCTTCTCCACCTGTGCTTCCCACCTCACTGTGGTGGTGGTCTTCTTTGGAACAGCTAACTTCAACTATGACAGACCCAGGGAAGGCTACTCCTTGGACATGGATATCCTGGTGTCTGTGCTTTTCTGTGTTGTGACCCCCATGTTGAACCCTATCATCTACAGCCTGAGAAACAAAGAGGTCAAGGGTGTCCTGAGGAAACTTATTAAAAAGCATGACTTCTCTAGTGAGATCAACAACTAGATTATTTACCTGTCTTTTCTTTCTTTCCTTTTTGCCTAGTACACTAAAACATTTTTGAGTTCTTTGATAATTTTATACAATGTATTTTTATCATACTTTATCCCTCTTCTACCTTCTCCAAGATACACCCCTTTGCCCTACCTACCCAATTTTCTGTTCTCTTTTTCTTAATTTTTTAAAACACCCATCAAGTTCAATTTGTGCTGCCTATATATTCTTGGGTGTGTAGCCTTCCACTGGTGTGTGGTTGTCTTACCAAAGACCAAACTCTTAAAGAAAACTGGCTTTCCTTTTCCTGGAAGTTATCAGTTGCCAACAGCTCCTCGGCTAGGGGTAGTACTTTATGGCTGTGTTCCCTCACCATCCTGGGATCTCGGCTGTACTGAGCTTGCACAGATCTTGTGCATGCTGTCACAACCACTGTGAGTTCATGCAGTTTCCTAGCTATGTCCAGAAGACACTGTTTCCTTGTAGTCATCCACCACCTCTGACTCAGTCTGCTTCCTCTTCTGCAGTGATGGGAGGAGATGTGATACAAATGACTCACTTTTGTTGAGCATTCCAAAATCTCTAACTCTTTGCACCTTGACCAGTTATGGGTCTCTGTTTTAATCACCATGTACTAAAAATAGAAGTTTTTCTGGTGAGAGATATACTAATCTATGTCTATAATGGTAATTTAGAATTGTTTAATATTATATCCATGTATCAGACTGACAGTACTAGGTTCTCTCCTAGGGCCTAACACAGACCTAGCCACAGGTTCTTTGCCCAACAATGATTCTGTGAATGGGTTTTAACTTGTGAAACCGGACTTATATCCAATCAGAAATAGATTGGTTGTTCCCATAACATTTGTGCCACTATTGCAGCAGTTGGTATGTCTTTCCAGGCACGTTGTTTTCACAGCTCTCAGGGTTCACAAATAGGTAAATATTGAAGACTACTTTTACCTCCATGGCATGCACAGCATCTTCTGGCATTATTAAAATCGGCTGGTAGTGACGAAATTTCGAGGTCAATACTAGCTTGGCATCTCAATATTCTAAGACTCAAATATATGTTGTCTTCTACAATAGGTTTCCACTTTCAACTTCTTGAGGGTGATAAACAGCACTGGAAATTAATGTTTGGATTTCTATGGGACATCACTGGCCAAAAATTGCAAAAGAGATAGCACATTCCTGACACTGGGCTTTTATTTGTTAGCCTTTTATTGACATGTTTTAATTATACAAACTAATCCATTTCATTATGACTTCTTATGCATGCATGAAACAATGTTTGTTCATATATACCTCCTCCATGGTCTTGTCTCTTTTTTTACTTTTTCATTTCTTCTTGAGGCAGTGTTTCATGTACCTTAACTCACTATGTAGCCAAAGATGATCTTGAACCTCTAATCTTCCTACTCCATTTCTAGAGTGCCAATATTACAGGTAGGCATCATCATGCCCAGTATATGTAGATACTGGGATTGAACCCAGGGCTTTGTGTATGGTAAGCAGGTACTCTACCATTGTGTAACGATAAGTCTTTATGCCAGCCACCTGAACCCTGCCACCACGTGGGCATCCAAAATAACATACAGAGACTTATATTAGGTACAATGCTGCTGGCCATTGATTAGGATTTCTTAATCTATATATTTTATAAAGATTTATCTTATTGAGGATGCTGGCATAATGCATCCTCTTTCCAGGATCACATGGCAGCTCCACAGAGAAGAGAGGAGGAGGAAGAGAGTGATTTCCTGCTTGTCCCTGCTTATATTCTGAGTCTGCCTGATATGTCATTTCCTGCCTGGATAACAAGAATTCTCTTTACTACATTTCCCAGAATTCTCCTCCACTCCTAGTCCCTCCTAACTTGCTTCCCTTTTGGCCAACAGTACTTTATTTATCAACCAATAAGACAAACATACACAGAAGGACATCCCCCATCACCTACACCTAATAGGCTACATCCCTAGCCTCTATAACCATTTCTATCTCCCTTATTCCTCTCATTCCTGTCTCCCCATTCCAAATATGAAATAAAATATGTGATAGTTGTCATTACAAGCATGTCTTACTTCTCTTAATATAATGGTCTCCTGTTCAATTCATTTTCCAGAAAACAGAGAATTTCATTCTTCATTTCTGATTAAAACTCCATTGTGTATATATGCACCATGTTTTCTTTATCTATTCATCTGTTGGGCATCTACGCTAATTCCACAACTTGGCTCTTTGAATAGTGCTATAATAAACACTTGGTATATTTTAAAAAGTTTAAGTAACCCAAATCTAGTTGTGACTATATTGTCAGAAGCTGTGAAACTTATCATATGGAAGTTCTATTTTTAAGTTTTTGAGGAATCTTCATCCTAATTTCCATTGATGATGGATTGATTAACATTCCTAGCAATGGTGTATAAGGTTTCTTTTCCCTCTTCACTCTTGACAGTATGTTATTTTATTCCTTGTTTTTTTCTTGATTCTAAACCATCCTTACTGGATATGATGAGATATTATTATAGCTTTCATTTGTAGTTCTCTATTGGCTAAATACATGAAATTTGTACTTCTTTATTTGAAAGTGTCGGTTCAGTTCATTTGCCCATTTATTGATTGGCTTATTTAGTTTTGAGGGCTGGGTGTTTTAGTTCTTTATATATCATGGATATTAATCCTTTGTCAGATGAATGACTTGTGAAGATATTCTCTAATTCTGTTGTCTGTCTCTTCAACCCCTAAAGTGGGGCACAATTAATGTGTACCTCAAATGAGTCAGACCAAGTTTGAAGAACAGATGTTTTAATAGGAAAGTACTCACGCAATGAGTCAGTCCTCTAAAGCAGGCAAACCATGGAACAGAGAGAGAGAGAGAGAGAGAGAGAGAGAGAGAGAGAGAGCTGCCTGCGTGCGACCCTCATATTTAAGGTCTTGCTACATCACTGACCATGCCCTAGTGTGTGTGGTCTGTGTCACCTGTACCAGCCCCCAAGAGGGCATGGCTAACATTTCCCCTACAACTCCCCTTTTAGTACAAAAGAGGATTAAACTTAATGGTATAAATTATCTATCATTAATAATCATAAGGGTAAATCACACAAAGTTATAATAATCTACTAATGTCACATCTTCACTATAACTATTCCAACTAAACCTTAAAGTCATCTGAAAGAGATGTCCAAGCTTGAACACTTCCTTCCAAACCCAACCTTAAACAATAGGAAACTAGCCCTAACTAGGTGTCAACAGTGGGGAAAGGGGGCATAGTATTCTCCATGCTACTTCCTGCTGAACTGGCACGATGACAACCTCATGGGGTCCTGTGGGGAAAGAAAATGTTAGTGTAGTGAAAGTCCTGAATGGGTTATATCCAGTCCATGTTTGGTGGGAGATGCTTGATTAAAGGTTCAGGTTGAAGTCTTTATCTTATTTGAAGTTCTTGTGTTGATTGAAGTCAGTACCCAAAGTTCTGGCTGGAGTGTCAGTTGAAACTAAGCAAGTTGGATCCAATGTACTCGAAGAGGTGTGGGCCATTTTGTTTCCAGAGCATCCAGGGATTGCTGTCAGGCAGGTCTTCATTGGCTGTGTGGTACTCAAACATAAATGTTAGCAGAAAAATGTTTGCTTGTAGATGTATGCATACCCTGAAAGGCAACCATGGGAAAATAAGAATTATGAAAGGGTGTACACCTTGAGAGAAAAAGCCAAGAAAAGACAAATGACAGTCCCTAATCTTTCTCCTTTTCTGTATTATATCAATGGTTTCTTGAATTAGTACAGAAATTCTTAAGCTTATTTTAACAATATGCTTGGATTTAGAGGAGAAAAGCCAAATACAACTCTAAAACCAGAATTGTATTCTGTATTATCAGGAACAAATTCTGCAGTCTCAATGTGTAACATGACTCTCTCTGCATGATGGCGGAGGTCCTTCTGTGTATATGATTGTCTTATTGGTTGCTAAATAAAGTACTGTTTGCCAATAGGAAAACAAGATAGGTGGCACTAGGAATGAAGGAGGATTCTGGGAAAGGTAGTAGAAAGTGCAGAGTCACCATGTGAGCCCAGAAGACAGGACACTTGTTGCTGGCATCCAATAAGATAAGTCTTATAAAATGTATAGATTTATGATAATTAAGACTGAGCTAGCAGATGAGAAATCCTAGTCATTGGCCAAGCAGCAATTGTACCTAATATAAGTCTCTGTGTGTTACTTGGGACCATAACGTGGCGGCAGGCGGAACTCGGATGGCCTGGCAGAAAGAGTCCACATGGCAGTGGGGCTTGGGTGGTTTTGGTGGACTTATTGTTACAAATCCCTAGCCATTTCTTTTACCTTCAGAAGTTGTTTGATTAGTTATGCATATGCCAAGTCTTGCTCTTCTTCTCTAAACTATCAGAGTTCTATTCAAGCCCATGCCTGCATCCTTATCTTGAAAATTCTTTTTTCTGTTTTCCTTGAGTAGATTCAAATCTTCAGATTTTACACTGGGGCATTTGGTTTATCTTGAACTAGTTCTTGTAGATAAATATCTAGTCTCAGACTTTAATATGTGGGTATCCAGTGCCTCTTTATGGCACCTTTGTAGAAAATTGGGTATCTATAGCTGCGGGGACTTATTTCTGAATTGTCTATTCTGCTCCATGGGTCTGTTTGTGGCAATACCATGTTGGTTTTGTCACTATAGCTGTGGTAGTTTGAATGAGAATGATCCCCATTGGCTCATAAATTTGAAGCTGAGTCACCAGGGAGTGGCATTATTTGAAAGGATTAGGAGGTGAGGCCTTGTTGGAGGAAGTGTGTCACTGGAGGTGGGCTTTGAGGTTTTCAAAATCCCAAGCCAGACCCAGTGGCTCTCTCTTCCTTCTGCCTGCTAATCTGGATGCAGAACTCTCAGGTACCTCTCCAGCTCCATGTTTGCCTGCATGCTGCTATGCTTCATGCTGTGTACTAAAACTCTGAAACTATAAGCGAACCCCAAATAAATGTTTTCTTTAATAACT